GCGAGAGCGCGGAACGAGCGACAAAGAGGCACAATCGGCCTCCGCGTTCGGCAGCTTTCGACATCTGTCTCTCTCCTACTTGAGTGAGCGATGCGTCCGCGTGGACAGCTGCTATACAGTAATACATTTCCGTTTACCTCCTTCTCTATATCCATACAAAATATCTATCAAACAAATAAAATTAAAATTTTCTTTTGAAAAATGAAATTATTCCATCAGTATTTTCTCATGACGTTGTCACGTTCAACTATCGTCAGTAAACCGACTTTACAGACAACCGATTTTTGTTAATAATAAGTATCTTTTTCTATCAACATAAATTGACGCCACTAGGTATATGATAAATTACTTTATTCGTTTTTACAAAATGAAATATCAAACTAAAAGATACGTAAATAATAAACGCAATGAAAACAACTAATCGTAAAATAATTCAGGAAACTATTACCTTTCCCACGCCGTCGAAGTAGTGACAAATCAGGGATATTAAATTTACGAATCACTTGCTTAATGATTTTTTTATGTAGTTAATTTTCATCATATTGTTGGATCTCTGTTCAAATTCTTCCTCTTCCACAATCAGCAATAGAGCACTGATCCATTTAACGTTGCTCAATATATTTAAATTGAATTTGCTACAATCTACAATGCAGTTTTGATTCTGTAAAAACCATGTTAAGCTTAGTCTACAAGGATGCTTAAGACTGCTTCAAGCTAAATGTCTAACAGACTTCTCCAGTCGAGGAATTATCGAAGGATTCTAGATCTCGAAATTCACTGTCTATACAATATACATACGTGGATACATAGCAACTATTTCAAAATGTAGTATAAACTGTGAAATAAAATCTTTGGCATGAATACGTATTAAGACTACAACATATGTATCTAGTGTTTTTCAAGGAAACATTAAGTTTATATCAAAAAAATTTCGTAGAGAGTGTTCCTATGCAAGCTGTTCGCAGGTAGTCGATTTCGCAGATTTAATGTGTTGGTCATTTCGGTTCGTAATAAAATTGGTAGGTCGGACTCCAACCTTAATAATGGTATCTAATATCGGCTGGTTTTGTCATTCCGCTACGCCGTTTTGCTGCGGATTGTATGGTACTGTGAGCCGACGTGTGATTCCCTTGCTTTTTAGGAGCCTGTCCAGTTCTCCGCTGATGTATTGACAATCGTTATCCAATTAGAGACATATGACGCACCTGTCGGTTATATTTTCGACGAGTGTGATGTTAACTGACGGTGTTCTGATTCGAGTCTAAAGGTCGTTGTGTGTTAGAGTTGCTTCCTAAGGCTTCGCTAGCCCAGGTGGCGAGCTCCTTCAGAGGTCTTTCAATCTCCGATGCTGGATGCGGACTGCAATTACCTACGGACCGCGAAAGCCTTTACCAATTTGTGAGTGTGATGTACTCCAGCATTGCGTCAAATACGTCAGCTTTGGATTGTAGAAAACGTATCTCGCACTATCAAGAGGCATCGTCAATGTACGTAACAATGTATTTGGAACCACTTAACAACGTCTGTGTGGATTATGTTTAGCAGTTCTGTTTTTTTTCTCCGATTCTCGTAGAAATGGAGCTCTTCGCATCTTTCCTTTTACGCAAATGTCACATTCCAGCTGGCTAGTCTTATCATCGAGTTGTATGCCAATAATTTGTTTGTCACAACGTCGGTTATGTCGAGTGCAATATTTCGAGCAACACTGTCTTGTTCTTTTGCTGCACGGCGTAGGCGTTTTCGTTACCTTCGCGCACGAAATACAACTTTTCGACTCGAACCGCGCACACTTCGATTTCACCACCTGCATTGACGACTGTGGCGCCATGTTTTTCGAATATAACGTCGAAACTGGTGATTTGTGATTTTGCGCACCAATATGAGATTTGTGCGTAGGTCCGAAATATAAGATGCGCTGTTGAGTGTCACGTTCACTTTATCACCGGACACGTTCGTGTTAAACAAGACTGCCCTTTTTCCGGCGATTTGAGTTGAAGACTCGTTCTCTTGGCTCAGTGTGTCACACGAACTGGTGTTGAGTTCGAGTTGTGACAAATTTGTGATTCTGCTTTATCAACGTTGAAGCGTAAACGACATGGAAGCAAACGTTGCTAGACTCAGTCGACTTTTCCTAATCCGGTTTTTTGTTCTTACTGGGGAACCAGCAATTGAATGGCTTTTGAGCGATTTTGTTGCATAAAATAAACAAAATTAGGACTATATAAAAACTACATTAAAACTAATCCAAAAATGATTGCACATTTGTGTGTAATAGTAAAATAAATATACTTTAGTAAGAATTTTCAATTAATTATTTCAAATTGCATTTCTGTTATTCTTATTAATTAAAGCATAATCATACAATAGGTATACTAAGTAGTAAGTAGTAACGTTTAAGTCTTTAAGTTCATTTGGTAGCTTCCACTACTTAATAGTAATATATTCATTGTTCTTATGGTTTAGAGATTTGTTTATGTTAGGATGAAGTAGACTTTTGTGTCTCGTGACACTGGTTGATTCTCTGTATTTATATTTTAGTGTTTTCTTGTGCTGTACCATGGACTCAGTGATGAAAAACTTTAATTAGTGTTGGTTTCGGGATGTTTTCTGTGTTGGATTTGAAATTTATTCTAATTATTCTGTTTTGTAATGAGCTCAGGGTTTTCATTGTGCTTTGGTATGTTCGTCCCCCCACGCTATGATGCAATAGTTAAATGCTGTGAAATAGATCATCATAAACTGTCAAAACTTGTCTAATATTCATAATCTTGATTAGTTATGTAAATATGAAGAGCAGATATCTAGTTTTCTTATAATGTAATGAATATGATTATCCTCTCTCATATGACAATCAATTATTATACTTCGGTATTTGGTGTTTATGGTTCTATTTATTTGCATTCCATTAATAGAAATGTTAAATACTTTGGCTGTACTATTTCGGTAGGCACCAAACGTCATGAGCATGAGTAACCATTCGTTGTTGTCTTAGCTTGGTAGAATAAAATTTCAGAGTATTAAAAGAAAATTTCGTGGAATGCTAAATGCAAATTTAAGGGCTTGTAAGAAAAATTAGAGAGATTTGAAGAAAAATTAAAAAAATATCCCACACAATTGCAAGAATAATGTTCTGTGTAGGCATACACAATAATAGAAGATTTTGTAGATGTCACATTCTGGATCTTTCTGGAAAAAGTCCGGCGCTATAAATAGTTGCCGCGAGATCGGAAGTGTTAATATGAATTCGAGTTATAGTAATGAATTAAAAATTAATTAGTCAATAGTGGGAAAGGTGTCGCGACAATAATTACCGGAAAAATTGGTTGAAACAAAAAATAATGTTGAAAAGAAATGGATACACAGATGAAAGAGTTAATGAGAGAAGTGAAGGGACCGGGAGAATAGAACCAGCGACTAGCCCATGGACGTCGCCGGCCGTTTTAGTAAAAAAGAAGTATGGATTTGGAAAAAGATAGCTGCTCGTTGTCTCGGATTGACGATACCTTGGTCATATTCTAACATATTCTCAATGTTAAGCCTTATAAGTGAATACTGATAAATGAATTTGAATACTGAAGCCAAAGAGAACACGGCATTCTCAAATGGAACAGAATTGAGGTAAATTGAAGTGATGTCGTTCAGTTTATGCAACATGCCAGTTACATTTGAACGGCTCATGGAGAAAATCTTGTGGTGGTTTAACTGGGAAGACTTGCTTGGTGTACCTCGACAGCATCATTGTGATAGGAGTAGACTTCGCTGACTACATGAAGAATTTGGAATAAATTTTCCGAAGGCTTTGAGACGGCAATTTGAAATTGAGCTAAATGTATATAAGTCCTAAGCTTCCTTGGACTTCACAGATAACTGACTGAAAAAGATAACCGACTTGACAAGAAGTGCTTACGAAGTGAAACAGTTATGGACCCAATTGGATCCTATTGTTGAAGACGATGGTCTCCTGAAGTGGGTGGTAAAAAACCAGAATGGTACTGAGACACACCGCGATGTTTGGTGAAAGAAGTCCTGCAGTACTTTCATAACGGTCCTTAAAGAGGACATTTTAGTATTAACAAGTTCCTTCAACGATTTTACTAGTTCAACTGCAAGAATACCACAGGGCATTTGAGAGAATTGCCATTGAAGTCGTATAACCGTTTTTAAACTCATGATTGAAGGAAGTATATCTTAGTGGCAATGAATTACTTTATGAAATGGGTGGAAACGTACGCCTTTTCCAACCAGATAGTAGCGGACAACACCTCTGCATCCTCAATCGGATGATATGGTAAACCGAATGAACCAGAACCATTAAAAAATGCATGTCCAAGATGGTCTCCAAACATATGAGAGTGTGATCGTTATCTGCCATTGTTTTTTAGGGCATATCCATTGCCGTTCTACGAAACTACTTATTAGACACCAGCAGAAGTATTGTTTGGTCGGAAACTACGACTACAAATTTGGTTATAAACCTGGTAAGGATGTTGCTAGATACAATTACCTTAAAAAAAACGTTTGATGGCATCTACAAAGAAATACGTCCCCACATGCCAATAACTAGCGGTCATGTGGAACACTTCTACGACATGAAGGCCGCTAATGGATGTTTCCTAGAAGCAGGCTTGGTGTGACTATACAATCGATGACAAAAAGGAGTCTATCACCATAACTATAACAGCATAGGAAGGTTCATGTAAAATCGTCAAGCGAATAAATGATGTGTTCTACCGGATTATACGTGCCCCGGATGGGAAGTCAAAAGTCGTCAAACGATTGGCTCTGTATGCTGGTGATAATCACGAATATGCTCGGATCAGAAGTATGTAAGCTCGATCTCCGAATCCCCAATACGAACAATTCATGGCTGCACTGAGTTTGTGTTCCAAAGCCAGATTTGGAGTCAATTCTGAAAGACATGAAGATTTATTTGCTGGGGAACGTGCACTTCGAGAAACGTTCCAGATGAATGAAACCTTTTTCAGAGAATTTGACAATAAAAATAAGTCTCTGAATGGCAGCTAAAGTTAGTTCGTATATGGATATTTAATCAGTAATACGGAGTTACTTTTGTCTGGAACCCCAACTCTGTAGTTTTAGCAGTATTTGATTTTTCTAAAAAAAGTCAAATATCACTGCAAAAAAAATTAATATGGTAGATTAGGTTAGGTTACATTAGTTTCTTCCCCAATATTCCATTTTTTATCTTCAACTCTTTTAAGGTCCGTAAATTTCACTAAATTCAGTCCTTTTGCTGGACCATAAAGAATTCAAACAATTTTTACAAAGTAAATAAAATTGAAGTCATACACGGTAGATTTAAAAATTAATACTGAACTAAAATGTACAATTAAGAGTGAATTGGAACTTATCAAAATTGAGTTTCGAATTTGAAATGAACTTGAATTAAAACTTCAGTAATAAAATTTAAGAAACACAGCCAAGAGGAATTAGAAATATTTGTGTATAATAAAGAAGATGCAGGAGACCAACAAGAAGAAATTGGAAATACTCAACAATCTCTTGCAATTTAAAAACTCAGTAGTTTCGTTAGAAAAAAAATGAAAGTACTTACAAATACAAATGTGTAAAAATATAACTTTTATTATATACTGTATGTCAATTTAAGTACATATAAATAATTTCAGGTTTGTATCCCAATATAACGGCGATAAGGAAAATTAAACAAACACCACTATTTGTAAGAAAACACACATCATCATCATCACAACGGCGCCAGTCCTAAGACTGGTTGGACACGTACCTCCACTCTTTCCTATCCTGAGCTAAACATTTCCCTAAAACTGGAAGAACCCACATCCTTAATTATTTGCGAACAGCAATCTCATCTAGATCTACCTCTACCCATACTAACTCCTGTTTCTGCCTCTAATATGTCTCTGTCGAAACCTTCATGCCTGAGAAGGTGTCCTACCAACCTATCTCGCCTATTTTGTATTGACTTCCATAGAGTCCTCTGTTCTCCTATTCTTTCTAATACCTTTTCATTTCTAACCTTGTCTACCCACGTTATCCTCATCATTTGCCTATAACACCACATTTCGAAGGCTTCTAACGTTTTCTACAGTACTGATCTGTCAATACCGCTTCCATTTTATTTAATAATGTACCATCCACTAAGTCGTTCAACATTTATTTATGTAATGGTAGGAATATCCGTAATTTTAAACATAATATAAGCTTCGCCTTTGAATAAATACCATATATAATTTACATATAAAAGAGTTAAATCAGTAGTAGTTTAATCCATTGTCGCGGGGTTCAAAAATTACGTACTATTTATTGTAATTCTATTTATTGTAAAATAATTGCCATTCATCTACCTTTTTGTTTCTTATTAGGTTTATAAAAATATTCTTACAGATTCAGTGGACTACAAGTTGTACGAGGGCATTAATGCATTGTAAAATTATGGAAAGTAAGAAACCAATGAAAAGATTAAGAAAGAAGCAAAATCAAGTTTTAGATAAATTGTCTGAAATGAGCAGAAAAGATCTCAATAGACTTTCCAGATTAAAAGTGAATGCTCTCATTACTATTGAAATCCATTGCAGAGATGTTATCGATAAAATGTACAAAGCAAGTAAGTTATGTTTCCCATCCCATAATCGACTAAGGATTAAGGCCAATTCGTAAAAAAATAATTTAGAATTTTGCTTTAATTGAAGTCAAATGCAATTACGCCTACTCATGTATCAGAAAGTTCTTAAACAGTAGACAGTGACTCATATGCATTGTAGGGAGCGTAAAGATAAAGAAAAATAAAAAAGATAAAAAACTACAAGTTGTCCGTTGCAGACTTCAAAATGTCAATAATTTCTTTGAGCAGGCATCTTTTACCAGTATTGTTAGAATAGTCGATTCTAAACTTTCTGATGAAAAAAACTGTCCACTGGCACCGTTGAAAATTTATATAAGTATTAAAGTATCTATTAAGAGAATATGGGAAAAAATTGTCAGAAGGCTAAGTAGAAGCCAAAGGGCCCTCAGAAGCTGTCAATATTGAGAAAAGTCTGTGGAAATTTACATATTAAGTAAAAATTCTGACAATTTGTCAAAGATGAGTAGGGTGTGTAGGATTTCTCCCTTCTTTGCCGCGGGGTGGGTGGAATATCAGAGATGCTGGTACTAAGTCTTTTTTTCTTGTTTAGTTTATCCTCGAGAAGGGGAAATCGTCAAAAGATACCCTCTGAAAGTTAAAGGTGGGTAGAGAAGTGTTTGGAGGGGGGTGTGGGTGTGAGTAGGTACCCCATCACAAAAATAGGGTAGGTACTCCCGCTAAAATACGAAACTAGACTAAAAAGCGAAATTACTAGTACTAATTTTTTTTTTTTTGTTTGTTTTCGTGGAGGAGAGGAAATCTTCAAAAGACACCCAGCCGTCCGTACGACTGGGTAGTGTCGGATTCATCCCGAAGGACGCCTACCGACTAAAACCTCTCCCCCTCAGGCCGTTCTAGGGCCGCGAGGCCCTCTTCAGCCATATGTTGTACTACATATTAGTTGTTGATGATGTTCAGAAGAATATGGGCGTTGCCCAATAGATGTAGCAAGATTTCGCCTGGTGTTGTGGCACCTTTAAGTTGGTTTGCTAGGTTGATAATGGCGGTCTTGAATGTCATCAGGTCCAGTTTGTCGAAGATTGATGATTCTGTTTCGGAGTTTTCCGGTTTTGGTGTCCCCGCTGTTGCTTTAGCATAAGAGATCCCTTGTCGGACATTAGAAGTCGTAGTTTTGGTAGGTTGGATGTTCTCACGTGGTTTGGTTGGTTTGTTTTTGATGGAGAAAGCTTTGCAACCCCGGTAGCTGGCAGGGTGTGGCCCTTCGCAGTTGCGGCACTTTGCTTTTTCTTCTTTCGGCTTCGTGCACTGGGATGAATGGTGGAGATCTGCACACTTTACGCATCGTGGGGCCATCTTGCAGTTCCTTTGGACATGTCCAATGCGCTGGCAGCGATGGCATTGTGTAGGTCGGCGTTGTTGGCGGTATAGCTCTATTGTAACCCGTAAGTGGCAACATGTCTTGATGTCCTTGATTTTTGTTTCCATTTCTTTAGGCGCAATGATTAGAACCAGGGGAATCTCTTTAGACCGGCTCTTCATCCTATGGACGGTTGCGTCGCGTAGCCCGTTCCCTTCAAGGTCGTTTAGGACGTCGTCGCATGACAGTGTGGTGGGAATACCCTTCATAACGTATTTGACCGGCCGGTTTCGATCGCACGTGTATGTGAAGTAATAATAGTCCATTTTGTCTAATAAGGCTGTCAGCTTGCTGTGGTCTTCCTCTGTTCGTGGTTGTATCTTGATTCCCTCTTTGGTACTCCTGGCATTGTCGAAATTTACGTTGTTTAGCTGTAGTTTCTTTCGCAATAGATTCCAATCTTCGTTGTAATGTACGATGACTGGTGGTATCTTAGGTTGGTCCGTAGGCTCGCTCTGTAGAACATCGAAACTGTTGGATGTAGTTATCTTAGTGGCCTGTCTCTGGTCGTACGTAATCTTCCTGGTCTTCTTCGGGATTACGAAACCCTCGTCTATCTCCATGGTGCAGGTTAGTCTTAAGAAAGACTATTTTTTGTCGCTGAAGAACTCTAGTATCGAGTAGCTGTTGTCGACCGCTGCTGTAGTAGATGTTGTCGTCTCGAAGTTCGAACCGGGAGTGGCGAGAAACGGTCCCGGACCTACCGAATTTCGATAGACAACCGACCGATCAAACAGTCAATCAATCAATCAATCAGTCGACCAATCGATCATGGCTCGCACCAAGCAGACGGCTCGTAAGTCGACCGGCGGGAAAGCTCCGAGGAAACAGCTGGCCACGAAGGCCGCGCGGAAAAGCGCGCCCGCGACCGGAGGAGTGAAGAAGCCGCATCGTTACAGGCCCGGCACCGTGGCCCTCCGAGAAATCCGCCGTTACCAGAAGAGCACCGAGCTGCTCATCCGCAAGCTCCCGTTCCAGCGTCTCGTGCGAGAGATCGCCCAGGACTTCAAGACCGACCTTCGATTCCAAAGCTCGGCCGTGATGGCGCTGCAGGAGGCGAGCGAGGCTTATCTGGTCGGTCTGTTCGAGGACACGAATCTGTGCGCGATTCACGC